CTCTGAAGAAAAAGAAATTCTTGGGAATAGGAATTCCAATATTTAATTCAAATTTACATAAACATCCTTTTTTTAGGTCATAATTTAAATTTATTTTTCTAAAAGGTCCATAAACCCTTTTTTGAATAACTTAATTACTATGTATGTTTATTTTTTTTGTAATTAATGAATCCTTGGACCATGATCCGAAATTTATGTTGAGTAGATCAATTTTTGTAAGAAAATATTAGAACGCGATCTAAAACTCTGTAGAAGTTAGAGAATATTCTAATGATTAAAGTTCCCAAGATTATATTACATATTTTAAAATATAGGTAAGTTTACACGAATTTCATAGTGTTAAGAGTTAATTACATCATGCACTTACTCTTTTTCAAATTACAAAATGCCTTAAAATTTAATGATTTAGGATAATTACTCAACGTCCTGATACACTGTATTTCGATTTCGGACATATTACTTAATGTTCCGATACATAGTGTCTCGATTTCAAATATATCACTCAATGTCTGATACATCGTGTCCTGATACATTACTTTTATCGATACAAGACACACATGTATTTATACATCGCGTAAGAGCGATGTATCCGAGAATAGGAGATAATTAATTATTTTTTTTGTAAATTTATAGTAGCGAATTTTAGAGAATACCATAAAATAAATTATGTGTTTAAGTACTTTTTTCTAAAATATAAAAACAAAATTTAAAAAATAATATGAAAAGTGATATTTACGTGAATCAACCAAATATAAATTCATTTTAAAATCAAATTAGGTTAGCAGATCCAGCATAGCCACCAAGGGTCAAAAAGGGCAACTATTCTATATTATATTTCATATTTATTTATGTAATTTTGTATACATAAGCAATTACGTAATATTCAAACTGTGTAAATTAATTTATACCATTGAAATTCAGTTACATATTAAATGTATACACAAAAGTATTTCGTATGAATTTTGTATGAAATTTGAATATTTGTTAGTCATTGAAGTTTTATTTATATACTAATCGAATATAAATTAGATTCACAAAATATCTTGATATGAATATGATATGCGATTTGAATTTTTATATCCACTTTAGTTATACATTGGAATTCTACTTATATATCAATTATATATATAACATGAATTCGTTTAAGTCTAATTATATAACAACTATATACACACATTCGTGGTTAAACTTTTGAATGAATTTGGTATAGAAATTACATGTGAGTTATCAAAAAAATTATTATTTAATATATGAAATTGGTATACAAATTGATTTCAATAATATTCGTTAAAGTTAAATTTATCGTGTGAGTTATTATACATTCCGTATGAAAAATTTGTACAAACTGATAAACTTGATTTATTTTATATGAGATGATAATTGTAAATTATACATTAAGAAATAAGAATACTTATTTGTTTTAAAAAAATTTTAAAATAAAAACCATGGTATAAGATGCTAATGGTAAATTAAACCGTCTTGTCAAACAGAAATTTATTGTCAACTTTATGTTGATCCCTACAATAAAAATGTATTTGTCTAAAAAATATATTACAAGAAATACATATTCCAAAAACAAAACAAATTTAAGAGACAAGAACAGATTTAAGGAATAAGAATACTTAGTTTGTTTATAAAAAAAATGAATTTCAAATAAAACTAAAAATATAGTTTCAAATAAAACTAAAAATAAAAACTATATAAATTTTCAAAGCAGTAAAAAAATTCCTAGAGAAAAAGGATGAAGGAAAAATCAAAATAGGAGATGAATAAGGTTATTAATTAAGAAATTGATAGCAATCAAAATAGTGACCAAACTATATGGGAGAAAATCAAGGGATAGATATATCATGCTAATTATAAAACACTATATTTAAGGAAAAGATGTTTTTTTTTTTTTTTAACACTTTTTGGCCATCAGGCCATTTTTATTAAAGAAATGCCCATTGGGCTATGTTCAAAAGATGGACCAAAATTGACCCAACATAAATCAAATAAAAACAAAGCAAATAAATTCTATATCTAAAAGCACTAAAGTGAAAATTGAAATGACTCTTGGAACTCTCCAGAACTCCATGGTCAGCCATTTCCTCATCGATTTTTGTCCTGGTAAGGACCATTTCTCTTTTGAGTGAATGTTTGCCTCTTTGTTCAGTCCCCTTCTTTCTCTTCTTCTTTTTGTTGTGATTCTCATTTTCCATTTTTGTGTGTTAATTGCAAGATTGATGTTGGGATCCATCGTTTGGTACGATCAGTGATCCATATTCATTGGATACTTTATGTCGAGATCCTGTGACTATTGGATGAGCTCTGTCTGTTGGGGTTTTCCTGTGTTTCATTGATTTTTCAGTAGTAGCATGAACCACCACTTCTATTTGAGTTGCTTGCTTTTTGTGTTTACCACTGTGGCTCACTGTTTGTACTTGTGTGTATGCCCCTATCTTATTGTTGTGCTTTTGCCCATTTTCATATTATTTTTTTTCTTGGTACTGCAAAATTGAGCCAATTATTAGAAAAAATCAGTTCCTCATAATTCGCCTCTCTGAGGATTTGAAACTGAGGAACAAATTTCCTTTGATGGACCTCCTCCTGCTTCTGATATGTGTTTATTTTCTGCATTGTCGGATTCTTAGATATGGTACCACTAGTTTATCACTGTTCACTATTCTCTTGCCTTGAGATTCTAATTCTTGAAAACAATTCACCTGAACAGTCCCTTTCTCTAGAGCTAGGTTAGCTAGGTAATCGGCTAGTTTGTTCCCTTCTCTGAAAATGTGTGATATAACCACTGTTTTTCCTTGCATTAGCCTCCATATTTCCTCCAGAATATTCACTACCTTCCATGGTACTTTCCACACTCTTTCCACAATGTTTTTAAGTAATAGAGAATCAGTTTCTATAATCACCTTGTCTAGTTGTGCTGTCTCTATGTACTTCAAAGCATGTAAGAGTGCCATTGTTTCTGCCTGTGTATTAGTAATTAAAGGTTCATCAATCTCCTTAGCCTGAGCTTGTATGACATCCCCTTTATTATTTCTCACACAAAAACCCCAGGAACTTCTTCCTGGATTTCCTTTTGATGCTCCATCAGTGTTGACTTTAACCTAACCAGTATTTGGTGGTCCCCAAATAACTTTAGTTACCTTTACTGTTGGATTATAGTTGTGAATAGCCTCTACCACCATTGTCCATTTGTATGGGATGTACGTGCAATTTCTCCTCCTAGTTTTCATGAATAGAATCAATGTATGCATAATTTGATAGATCACCTTGTTACTGGAGATTTTCTTCCCATTTTTTAGTGTGTTTCTCCTTTTCCACAATTCCCACACTATGATAGAAGGGACAGCCTGAAATATATACTTAATCTGGTGATGTGCATCGATCTCCCACCATCGATTAATAATTTGGGATAGCTGCATGTTCTTCATGTTAATTCCCACTGGCCCACAGAAGTGCTCCCATACCATTTGAGCTATGGGGGAGTGTAGGAATACATGAGAAGTGTCTTCTATTTTAGAATTTTCACAACAATAGCATCTTGAAGGGAATTGAATTCCCCACTTCTTCAATGTATCATCTAGGGGTAGTTTGGATTTCCACAATTTCCACATGAAAAAACAGATTTTGATAGGCATACCTTTGATCCACATGAGGTTGTACACCTTGTTAATTTCCTGCTTTTGTCTTACTTTCTGGAATGCAGTACTTACTGTGAACTTTCCCCTAGATTCCAATTTCCAGTAAGGTCTATCAAACTCTTCAGTGTCCTTGGGTGGACTGATTCTTTGTAAAATGTGATCAGCCAAATCTTGAGGAAGTAATTCTTTTAAAGTTTGTTCATCCCAATGTCCTTCTTCTGCAACTTCTTTGACTAGAATGACTGTTTGATCGTACTCAAATTCTGGGGGAATAATTTTATACAGAGCACCCAAACCTGTCCAGTTATCTAGCCAAAAATAAGAATTACCTTGCTTAATTGACCACCAGATTTCAGGTTCTACTTCTTCTCTGCCTTTGATCATTTTCTTCCAGATATATGTGCTTGTCTTAGCTTGTACTACCACTGCATGGTGTTTCTTCAAATATTTATTGCTCATATAACTTTTCCACAATGATTCTCTAGTTCTCATGTTCCACCATAGCTTTGCAAACAATGCTTTAAGGAAAAGATGTTGTAAACAAATTGAGTAGGTATTATTTTAATTCATTTTCCGTTTTTTTACTCGTATAGCTAATTAGAAATCTAATGTTATATATTGAAATCTAAAAAGTCTAAATTTTCTCTAAAAGTGTTGCTTCGGAAAATAAATCTTCTAATATATAAATTTAAATTTAATTAAACTTCAATATGTATTTTGAATAAGGAAAAAAAAAAGTGATTACCTAATAAAAAAAACAAAGAGATATCTAACAAAAAAAAACGTTGGTACATCATACTTGGAGACTTTTGAGGATAATAACAACAGTCTATTAGTATTTTTTTTTTCTTTTTAGGAATATATACACTTCCGTTATTATTGATAAATTATAATTTAGGTGTTTATAATATTTGGCTATAACTTTCAACTAACTAAAAATTGTGTTTTTCATCCCTATCCGTAAATATGTAATATTTAGACTATTTTTTTTGCAGAACTACATTATCTTCGAATATGGAGTAAAAATACAAAAATTAGCATTAAACATGGCAATTCAATGATTAATTAGAACTTAAATAATTTATTAAATTTACGAAGTTTCATATATTGGAGGAATCAAGAATGCATGTATTAATCAATTAAATTTTAAATGCACTTAACCAAAACCCCAAGGACCAATTTTTTTTAATAAAATATTTAAGGGACAAAAAGTGTTAATTTCCTTCCTTATTTATTGCCATAGAGTTAGTCACATCCATTTAATGTGATCTAACCATATCACATATCTCAATACAATTTTCTTTATTTATAAATTTCACCATTTAACAATTTCCTCATACACTTTGAACACAAATTCAAACAATGGCTTCTTCTTCCCTATCTAAAGAGCTTCATTTTCTATTGATACCTTTAATGTCTCAAAGTCATATTATACCAATAATAGACTTTGCAAAATTACTAGCCCTTCATAGAGTCAAAATCTCTATTATCACAACACCTCTCAATGCCCAAAAATACAAATCTATAGTCACACATGCTCTAAAATCCAATCTAAATATCCAACTAATTCCTATACATTTTCCAAGCCAAGAATTTGGATTGCCACAAGGATGTGAAAATATGGATACACTCAATTCACTACAAATGTTTAAAAATTTCCTTTTGGCTAGTGAAATGATGCAAGAACCACTAGAGAAATTGATTCAAGATATGGAACCAATGCCAAGTTGTATCATTTCTACTAGTCCTCTCACTTGGACACAACAAGTTGCTAATAAGTTCAATATTCCAAGGTATATTTTCCAAACTGTTTCTTGTTTCACCCTTTATTGTTCTCATATGCTAAATGAAACAAAAATACAAGATACCCTTGTGTTGGATGATGATTCATTCTTGATACCTAATGTCCCACACAAGATTGAGTTTACAAAAGCTCAATTGCCTCAATCTACTGAAGATATGAAGAGTCTTGTGGACAAAATGAAGAAGTTTCAAGATTTGGCTAGAGGTACTTTGATAAATACTTTTGAGGAGTTGGAACCTTGGTATGTTGATTCATACAAGAAAGTTGTGAACAAAGTATTTTGTGTTGGTCCAGTATCATTATGTAACAAAGGAATGGATGAAATAGTTGATAGAGGAAACAAGGCCTATGTTGATGAGGATAATAATTGTTTGAATTGGCTTGATTCTATGAAGCCAAAATCAGTCATTTATGCTTGTTTTGGTAGCCTTTGTCAAATTTCATTATTGCAAATGAAGGAAATTGGATTAGGGTTAGAGTCATCAAATGTACCTTTCATTTGGATAATTAGAGGGCTAAATTTTACATTAGAAGTCGAAAAATGGCTAAGAGATGAAAATTTTGAAGAGAGGGTTAAAGGAAGGGGGATGATTATTCGAGGTTGGGCCCCACAAGTTCTAATATTGTCTCATTCATCAGTCGGAGGGTTTCTAACACACTGTGGATGGAATTCAATGCTAGAAGGGATATCTCGTGGCGTGCCAATGGCTACTTTTCCTATGTTTGCTGAACAATTTTACAATGAAAAATTCATCGTAAATATTTTGAAGACTGGGGTTCGAGTTGGTGTTGAAGTGAGTACTACCTCTTGGAATGAAGAGAAGAGTGGAGTGTTGATTAGCAAAGATCAAGTCAAGAAAGCAATAGATCAACTAATGGATCAAGGATTAGAGGGTGAAGAAAGAAGAAAAATAGCAAAGGATTTGGCACATATTTCAATGAAGGCAATACAAGAAGAAGGTTCTTCATACTTGAATATCAAATTATTGATTGAAGATGTCATGCATCTACTAAAAAATAAAGAGGAAACAAGCCATTGAATAGGATTTGAAGAGTCATTACAATCATTCACATAAATTTTAATAAATTGTTGAAGTTATCAACGTATTTTCCACAATAGCATACTCTAACTTATTAAAAGTTTTTCCTTTCTTTTTTTTTGTTAAAAGGACATAATATTTTATAGATATTAATGAATGAATTACTAAATAGTGGGCCCACATGGACCACTGCAGTAATTTGTAGTTGGGCATTAATGACAAACATGGCATATATGAACTAAAATTACAACTTTATATAGAAAATATTGTTTCTTATGTTGTAGTCGCAATATCGAGGAAGATTTGGTTTTGCGATCGATCACAAATAATGTTTTAATTTATATTGCTTGGATTCTTTAAAAATGTCGAATGGTATATGTCAAATTCTCTAAAAATAATATATTTTTGAAGGATTTGATATGAATGCGAATGTTAAGCGAGTCTGAGCGACTTAGGTTTTAATGAGCTATTAATCTTTATTCGCTAGAAAAAAATAACATAAGAATAAAATATAAGACACGTATGTGAGATTTAAGTACAACACTCTTATTTCAATAATAAAAGTTCGTATCATCTATACCACAATTTTTTCCTTGCACCTTTATTAAATATGTGGCCTATATATCCACAAATCACCCAGATATCTTAAAATTGGTACAATTTTAAAAGATAATGATTCCATTTTTTAGACCTTATAAAATGTTGAACCAATATTATGTCGAAATAATTTGGTATGGTTCAATTTTCACTTTTTGGTTTTGGTTTGCGATGTTCGATAATTTCGATATTGATTACTTTCTATAGTTATATTCTATCGACTAAATTTAGAATAGACAATTATAATTTGTAATCGAGATTCATAAAATTGATATTTATATTTAAATACTTTGTGTTGGTTTATTAGCATTTTAATATTAATATTTTGTATATTAATTTGTTAAAACTTAGTATAGCCATTTTGCCATGAAGATGGAATAGAGGACGTGGGAGTTACATGCATTTGTGCCTCATTACTTAGTGGTCAATTAATGACCATAGGCTTATGCACTTTGCTGCTTTCTGTGAACGTTGGAAAGTTGGCCGTTGTGCAAGTACACGTTAGAGGCATTGGTTACCCCTCTCATTATTCCATTCTTTACTCCTCCATTATCCTTATAACCTATGTAACTCCTGAGACCATTATCTTCCTATTCATTGCTAGGAAGACTTCTTGTAGTATAAATAGTGGTGGTCTTCATTTGGTTTGTTACACACAACACACAAGAAAATATAGAGTGCATAAGGTTTGTCAAAAAGAGAGTTCTTATTAGTTGAAGGGAGGTGTTTCTTTTGTGGAGATTTGGACTCAACTCTTGTCCAGAGTTGTTGAGTTATACTTTGTGAAGGCTGTTGTATCCTGGAGGGGACAAGTCAAGAAGGACTACTGCTGGATCAGTGAAAAACATTTGCTGCAGTGGACTTGAATCTCCTTAAAGGGAGCGAGATATCCGCGCCTCAGCCTGAAGAGATTTATTCCTTCATTTTTATTTTCAATTGTAATCTTGTATTTTTGTTATCTTGTAAGTTTTTCACTAACACTTTGATAATTAAATCAAGTGAAAACAAATAAATTAAAAGAGAACTAATTAAACCAAAACATTGATGATGTATCATTCTAATTAAAACACACTCATTTTATTATTATTTTTTGGTTGAAAAGCAAAACAAAGAGAAAACATAAAGCACACTATTATTGAAGTCAAATGTTACAAACTACAAATCAAATACAAATTGAGGACTCAATGTTGACCATTAAAACTATTGCGTTAAGCCTCTTAAATTGAATGTCCAAAGTAGACGAAGCTATTTTTCCACATATTAAAAATATATTATTCAGATGTATGACTTATCAACATATTTCTACTTAGTTGTGAAGCCTTTGTAGGTTTGTTCCTTGATTCTGATTAATTAAAGCCATAAAAAGTGTTTGAAAAATTGTCAAAATGTATCGAGTTTACACGAGGACAATGATATTCTTGAAATATATTTCAAGGATATAAAGGTCTTATTTGTTTGTACTTAACGAAAGTCTTAGTATGACACTCTTTGATTAAATACAACTTTAGAAAAAAGAAAGATTTTTGAAACATACTTATATTAAGTTTGAAAAAAATAGTATAATTTGATACTCCATATTACATTACACTACAAGAAATGACACTTATTTTGACCACCTTTTCTTGTCATTACAAAAATAACCCTTTCTAAATACAAACTTTACATTGTTCTAGCCACATTATTGGCTTCCCTCTCTTCATTCTTAAGTTGCTCCATGACATCTTCAATCAATAATTTGATATTCAAGTATGAAGAACCTTCTTCTTGTATTGCCTTCTTTGAAATATGTACCAACTACTTTGCTCTTTTTCTTCTTTCTTCACCCTCTAATCCTTTATCCATTAATTGATTTATTGCACTTTTGACTTGATCCTTGTTAACTAACACTCCATTCTTCTCTTCATTCCAAGAGTTAATACTCACTTCAACTCCAACTCGAACCCCAATCTTCAAAATATTTACGATGAATTTCTCATTGTAAAATTGTTCGGCAAACATAGGAAAAGTAATCATTGGTACGCCACATGAAATTCCTTCTAAAGTTGAATTCCATCCACAGTGTGTCAGAAATCCTCCGATTGATGGATGAGTTAATATTAGAACTTGTGGGGCCCAACCTCGGATAATCATCCCTCTTCCTTTAACCTTCTCTTCGAAATTTTCATCCATTAGCCATTTTTCGACTTCTAATGTAAAATTTAGCCCTCTAATTATCCAAATAAAAGGTACATTTGATGACTCTAACCCTAATCCAATTTCCTTCATTTGCAAGAATGAAATGTTACAAAGGCTACCAAAACAAGCATACATGACTGATTTTGGCTTCATAGAATCAAGCCACTTCAAACAAATATGCTCATCAATTGAAGCCTTGTTGCCTCTAATAACCATTTCATCAATTTCTTTGTTACATAATGATACTGGACCAACACAAAATACATTGTTCACAACTTTCTTATATGAATCAACATACCAAGGCTCCAATTCCTCAAAAGTATTAATCAAAGTACCTCTAGCCAAGTCTTGAGATTGTTTAATTTGGTCTATAATACTTTGCATATCTTGAGATTGCTTTGTTATATTGCCATTCAATGTTTGACCTTTTGTAAACTCAATCTTGTGTGGAATATTAGGAATCAAGAATGAATCCTTATCATGTATTTTTGTTTCATTTAGCATGTGAGAACAATAGAGGGTAAAACAAGAAATAGTTTGGAATATATACCTTGGAATCTTAAATTTATTAGCAACTTGTTGAGTCCAAATAAGAGGACTAGTTGAAATGATACAACTTGGCTTTGGTTCCAAATCTTGAATTAATTTCTCTAGTGGTTCTTGCATCATTTCACTAGCCAAAAAGAAATCTTTAAACAACTCTAGTGATTTGAGTGTGTCCAAATTTTCACATCCTTGAGGTAATCCAACTTCTTGGCTTGGAAAATGAAGAGGAATTAGTTTGATTTTTAGATTGGATTTTATAGCATGTGTGACTATTGATTTGTACCTTTTGGCATTGATAGGTGTTGTGATAATTGAGACATTGACTCTATGAAGTGCTAGTAATTTTGCAAAGTCTACTAATGGTATTATATGGCTTTGAGACATTAAAGGTATCAATAGAAAATGAAGTTGTTTAGATAGGGAAGTAGCCGTTATTAATTAGAAAAACTTAAGTGTAGATGGAAATAAGTGATAATTCTATCTTGTATAGAGGTGAGATTTATAAAGAAATTTATTGAATAGCCATCCAAAAATAAAAGAAATAGCCGATCAAATTAATTATTTATTGATTGTTAACATTTCTGACTGAACAGTTAAATATGTAACTTTTTGAAATTTATATAATTATCATCTAAGATTTTTATATTAGAGCGTCAGAAATTAAAAAAAGAGAAAACTCGAAACAATAAATTTCAATATATATATGACTTTCGGAGAAAGATTAAGAATCTGTTATACGCAAATTTAGGAGTGAAGCTGCCTCTAATAATTGAGTAATAAACCTAGGGAAAGTTGTATTGATATACGTGACATTAATATGAGGACAAAATGAATGAGATTTTAAGGTCATAACAACTTTATGCTAAATTGAGGAAAGAGAATAAACAAAGAACAAAAGTAGTTAAATAATTGTCCTCAAAAAGCACCAAAAAGTGGTAATGCAACAGATTTTTTTCTAAGCTAATTTAGCAACAACTTTTAACTTTTACTTACCTAATCATTTTGTTTTGTGCTAAATGTAAGTCAAAAAGAAATGAAATACTTCAAAAAAAACAAGTAAATGACAAAAAGAAAAACACAAAAATAAAAGAGGTGGTGGGGAAAATATTATAGATTATAGTGATTTTTCTATTTCAATAAAATTACTTAAATTTATATATTTATCTTATAAAGTAGTAATTATTGTTAGAAATTTCTTTTTTAAAAGTGAGAGAAAATATTTAAAATAGTACCTTAAGTTTGTGATTTGAATTAAAATAATATTTACTTTTAAAATGAAACACTACTATTTATTTATTTTCCAACAACTCACAAAAAAAATTGAAATAATTGATAGGGAAATTTTTTTTAAAATTTTCTTTCCCAAAATTAATAAGTACATCAAACTAATCTTTGAAAATAGGCAAAGTCTCCATACTTGTCGTGAAACGGCGTCGTTACTGGTTGCCACTGATTGCAACTTTTAATTTTAATATTTAGCACGTTCCCAATAACATTAATTACCGCGCAACATTGTCGACGTGGCGCCTGCAATTTTTTTAAAAACAAAAAATCACATAAATAATGTATTTAAGGTTCACTAACAAAATTTATTTGTTATCGAACACGTTCACGTAAAATGAAATAGATAGCACGGAGATTTTACCCGTCTCCATACTAGGGGAGATAGAATCGGAGCTGTAACATTAACCATGTGAATGGCTAATGCTGATTTGTACTTTTGGTTCTCACATTGCTTATTAGAATCATGACCAATAAAGTGCTATAACTTGTAAACGTTTCACCATTTTGAAGCCCAATAACTTGATCCAAATAGAACTCAATGGGCCTTTTACATGGATCTATATAATTGGGCCGAGCATCAAGTATGAACGGTTCTTTGGACCCGATCCATGTCTTGAACGTTTGCATTGGTAGCCCAATTCTCTTGCATTCATTAGCCAGGGATATAATTGCACTGAGTAGCCCCATGATACTGATAATGACCAGTTTCTATTTAAGTCATAGCACAAAGCTGTGTATTGCATTGTTCGACTTGGGTCATTTTTGTAAGACTCGATGATTTTCTTTATGGAGTCAAATTGGGTCATTGATGGAATTAATGATTGGACCACGTATAGGTCTAGATGGTGAAGTGAGACAAGTGGCGCCACGGGATGGGCTGTTAATAGCCCTCTCGGGCTCCCTTGTATATCCATCTTTTAAAAAAAAAGTAATTTTTTTTAAAATTATATTATAACTAAAAAATTCAACTTAAATAATAGGGAAAAAGGACAAATATACCTCCGAACTATTGTAAATATATGCTCTAGTTTTTGGACGGTAGGGGCATCAATGTCCCAAAGTTATGACAGTGGGTATCCGCATACCATTTACGATAGTTCAGGAGTATATTTGTCTTTTTCCCTAAATAATATTCAAAAGTTGTGGGGGTATATATGTACCTGATGGAAACCAAGTTCTTTTGTAAGAGGAACACCAATCTCAGCCATACAATTAGATATCATCAAATCAGAATCGAACACGTAATGGTAACGATTAATGCAATCGTCTAAAATCTTAACGAGCTCCATCGCGAGTGGATAACTAATAGCAGTGCTGCCGCCACCATATGCCATATTATAGGAACACATCACATTTGCCTCCACACTTTCGGAATTCCGACCTATATAATACATTTGATTGTAATCGTATTTACTCAAAACCGTCACTAAATTCTCCGTAAAAAATACCGTATCATCATCTCCCATTACAAACCATCTCACATTTGACAACCCTAGCTCAAAGCTCTCCTTTACAATTCTCGCGATCTTCACAGCTGATCTACAGTGGCGAAGTAAAAAACTTCACTAAAGATATTCATGATTTTATTATATATAAAAATTAATTTTAACCTATATATATAGTCTATAATCATATTTATTTCGATAAAGACGATGCTTTTCAAGTACTTGAACTTACTTGTATTATATCTAGAGAAAATAAAAGTAGGTCAAGTACTAGTCGTGACACAAATTAAAATGCACGTGGTGGTGAAAAAAATATGGATATGTTATATATATTTTCAGATAAATTAAATCAGCAACAACAAGACCTCCAAAAACATGTATGGGTTTCAATTAGAAAATAATTTTTAAAATTTTGGGGAACTATTATTAAATTGGATCGAATACTTTATGAAAATTGGGGGAGTAACAAAAATATATTACTAGAAGAGTTATTTCACTAGCAACACCCAAAATGCCTATACAAATGCAACTCATTATTTCATAATGCAAAGGGAAAAAAAAAAGAAGTAGAAATGACTCTTAAATATATAACAACACAACAATATAAATTTTCTATAAAAAAATTTCAACTAACCATCCTTTCGTTCTACTAACCTGTCACCAAACCAACAAGTGTTCTTGAATTTGGATATGTCTAGAGAGACCCTATAGGGCAAGGAATTTTCGGGCCACGTCACATCTTTGTGGGGCTTCTTGTCGAGCCACACAAGCCCTCGCGTTACATTTGGTCTCCACCAGAGGCTAGAGTAACGCGAGCGATTGTTCCACATTTTTGTGGACCCCGGAATACCAAAGAGAATATGGGATATGTTTGTTTCTTCTTCTAAATCTTTGTTGATATTTTCTAGTTTATTTGTATGCTCATAGCTTTTGGAGAAATGAGAAGTGAAGGAGATTAGTGAAATGGTGTAGACTAAGTAAATGGCAATTAGAAGGCCCTTAATCATAAAAATGGTGAAAAGATTTGGGACTAATTTATGGTTCAATAGAGACATTACCTTAATTAAATCTTTGCTATATTCTTCAAAAGTTTTTTTCTGTAGAGTACTGAACCTATGGAACCTAAAGGATTGGGTCCTATTTTCTTGATCTTTACAATTTTTATTATTTAGTTTGACTGAATACGAACTTTAGAAAAAAAAGTAAATGATTTAAAGCTGTAATTTTTATATTTGTTATTATAATATTTTTGTGGTTGTAATTTACTATTTTTTTAAAATTGTGCGTCTTTAAATTTGTTATAATATTTGTGTGATTTTAAAATATTTGTTACTAAAGGTAAAATAAAAAGTTTTTCTACTTTAGAAAAGAGTCATCAATTTTGGATTAGATTAAAAAAGAACAGTGTCATTCTTGATGAAATGGAGAGAGTATGTTGATTTTTTAAATTTATTATATATACTATCAAGCCATTTTTATTGATGGTATCTGATAATTTATTTTATTTTAAAAAAATTATAAATATTACATTTTAAAGAGAGTTAGTGTAAAAAATTATTTACATTAACAATACATATTAACTTTATATACCCCGGTAAAGTAAAAAAGAATTACACTTATAAAAAAAAATCAAAAAATTGAGGGTGAATTATAAAACAATGTTGGGTCACCCCTTTAAGGAAAATAAAGTGGACGAGTTAGATAACCCATGCAAATTTTAATGTTTTCATTTAGATCACAACTTTGGATCAATAACTAAAATGATTGAGTAATTATCACTTAATATTAATTATTTCATTTTGAACGATTACATAGGTCTAGTAGAAACATTAAACTATTTTGAGAAAGTGCGTACGCTATTATTAAGTAAGATTCATGGCAATGGACTACATGATATAAATTTGAATTTACGAATTGTAAAGTTTATTTTTTGAGAATAACATTTTTAATAGGATTTTTTTATTTTACGAACTCGAACTCAAGATCTTTGATTAAGAATGAAAACATTCAATCATCGTACCACAATTTGTGTTAGCACGCGGCCTAACTTATTCATTAATTTCACATACATAACTTGTGCGAGCAAATTTTTATCTTATTATTATTCTGTTATTTGTGCCAATAAACAAATTTATGACTCGTGTAGAATTCTATTTATATGTATTGGATTTATTTGTTGGCAAGATCCATTTTAAACTCATAGTTGTGAATCTCAATAATAGAGTAATGTGTACATTTCCAAACAAATCAATGCGTTAAATTGTGGTGGAATAGTTTGAAATTTCTCTATTTTCAATTAAAAATTTCAAATTTGAATCTTGAGAATGAAAAAGATCTTGTTAAAAGTATCATTATGAAAAACAATTGAGTTTCAATATATAGATCGAACATAGAGTGAAAATGAAAAAAAAAAAACAGATTAATGCTTCTCCTAGATTCTTTTAGTATTCCAATGTATAAACAAGTGATTCTTTGTAAAATAAAACAAAAAAATAATAATTAAAAAAACTGACCCAAAGTTCTCATCTCAATGAAAACTTTAATGTATGGGTTATCTAACTAATATTCTATTATACTACTTAGGGTGTACAAAATCGAACTGAAAACCGAATCAAATCACAAATCGAGTCAATCCGAAAAAAATTCCGACTAGTGGTTTGGTTTTGAAAAAAAAAACCCGATTATATTTGGGTTGGTTTGGTTTTAACTAAAAAAAAAACAACCCGAGACCAAACTAACCCGACATTATATATATAATTTTAAAATTTTATTTTATAAATAAAAATATTTACTTTGATATAATTTTAAAATATTTCTTATACTTTTTCATAGTTTTTATCTTTTAATATATTATTTCAAGTTTGAAACTTAGAATTATGAATGGGCCAATAAAGATTATAGTCCACAGATGTGGTAATTATAATAAAGCTTAAATCAAAATCAAATGAATATTAATGCAAAAAGAAAATCAATTCAACACTAAGAATGACAATAATATTGAGTATTTGTTCTTTAGTTTTACATTGGTTTAGACAATTAAAATACATAATCTAATTTTAATTTCCTTTAATATTTAGTCATGTAACTAATACTTATTAAACTTAATTTTAGCATGATTTAGTATTTTTAAATTATGATCATTTTCATTATGACTTGTTAATTTGCAATATTTGTTTTACGCAATTTCATTATTATTATTTTTGTTGGATATTTTAGTGTCATTAATCATATCATATTGTGCTATATTTTTAAGAAACATCTTAGATAGTTGTATGTTGGTAGGACTAAAGAAATATTTGAAGTACTAGTAAATTATATGTTTGTATGAATACTTTACCAGAAAAACCCGAACCGAAAAATTCGAAAAAACCCGAAAAAATCTGAGGTTGAAAAACCCGAGTTTTATTGGTTTGATTTGGTTTATAAATTTAAAAATCCAACACAAATGATTTGATTTGATATTTAAAAAACCCGAACCAACCCAACCATGTACACCCCTAAATTACTACTATATTATTTTATTTTGAAGGGAAGACCTAGCATTGTTCTACTCTAACATAATACCATGTTGTATTTACCCTTATATTCTATATTAGGGACTCATGAACTTAATTCAGATTCAAAACATAATTTTTAAGATGAAGATTGTCTAATATAATATAAAAAAGTCATTAGGTTAGTTTTAAAAAAAGTCTGACTGATGAAATGTATACGTATAATTAATATAATATAAGAGTTCAACATCAGATAAATCAAGAATTTAAATAAGTATAACTCTAGTAATTTTACGATTTAAAAAATGAATATTAAACTTAACTCAACCCAAAAACTACCTAGGATAAGAATTATCTAATATTACTAGATGAGTGTTGCCCGTGCTATGCACGGGCCCAACGTTTAAAATGTAATTATAATTTTACTTCTGTTTGATATGTGGGGTGGATCAGTGATGTAGGAGCGCAGCAATTAAACAGGAAAGAATAAAGAGAGGGGATTCTGCCATCTCAGAAGGATTTTTGCTGATCCAGCTAAGAAGTGAAAACTCTGATTCTGTATATTCTTCGATTTTGGAATTCTATATTTCCATACTTTATACACAATTACATATATGGTAGTATAAATCTGAACGTAGATGAGCATTAGGCTACGAATAATAGCTTCATGCACCTGCTTAAGACTACCACAATCTAAAGCCATGCTGGCGTTAGTTTCGTCTGCCGAGTTTCATTTTCCCCAATGATGCCAAACATATTAGCTTTTACTATTAACTATAAGCAACCAACGACAACACTTGGAAACCTTTGTCCACTGATGATGATACTTCAATTCAACACATCCTTGGAATTCTGCTGAAGTTCTTTTAGACCCTTGAACGGCCCTAAACCTTTGAATCAACACAACAAGAAAGAAAAAATAACTACTTTTCATGTACATTTCGATTTCAAATAATAGTGTATTTATAATGGATCTATAAGTAATGAGTTTAAACACATTATAGCTGCCAAATTTGTTCATTATATATTCAGTGAGATACTTACATAGTTTAACATTTCCTTATGTGGGAGTGCTAATTACATACATTTACATACTATTTTGAATTAGACAAAAACAAATGCATCTTTTATGGTTGGATTTTCTGGATCATCTTTGATCAAAATCACCTGTTACAATAAAATTGAGGGATTAAATGTTACAGAATCAGAGCATGATGAGAAGTAGCGAAAGAAAAAAAAAACAAAGCCAAATGTTTACAACTTAAAGTATGAATTACAAATGAATGAAATGAGATCTAAGTTAAAGATTAATATTATAGTAAAAGATTGGGAAAAAAAAAGTGAAGAAAGCATAGTGACAATATGACCAAACAAACTGGAACAAAGCTCGAAAGGCTTAAAAAATGACAATACTCATCCAAATTGAATAAATTGATTCCAATTTGTGAGGGTAATGTCAAAGGACCAATATACATTGAAAGTTGAAGCTCCTCTCAAATTTCAAAAATAAAAATAAGATTTTGAGCATTTTTCATCAGCAAGTAAGCTTAAATTGTATAAAAACAAAAACCCACAAAGCAAAAGGTGTACACATAAACTCTTTAAGTAATATTTTCACGTAAATAGCTCAAGTTAAGAAAAAAAAAAAGATAGTTTTTTTAATTGAATCACCTATATTTGGGTGTTGTTGAACTTCTGCTCTATTAAACTTAGTGGAAGAAGAAGGAAAAACACACAGAAAGAGCAAATCAGCAAATGCTTCCAGCTAATTAACAACCAAAACACTTAATACAACCTCTCTAATTTTTTGTATGAATCATTACATACACCAAGAGATTCACATGTAAATTTTGAGCAGATACTATATGGACATATGATCGTAACTGTAAGAATTTCAAGAATTGATCAATCATGAAGAAGTAGAAACCGAGTAACTGAACCAAAATTTTAAGTCATATAGACAAAGAAAATATTATAGGGTTCATCAGAAGGAAAATATAAAATAACATAACATGTGCAAAGTATATAGTACTAAGTCTTATCTAGAATTAGCATAAAGCTTACCCAAGCTTTGCATATAGTATATAAATGTGAAATCATGGGCTAAACATTAATCAAGGATAATAAAAGTATTTATATGGTTGAAAGATTGAAATAATAATATAGATATAAGAGGATTAATTATATCTTGTTGTTTTTAATTTAGACAAGCAGAAGAAATATAAATAAAAATACGCAAACAGTTTTACTAAACAGGTTTTATGTTTTAGTGAGTATGAGCTTATGCATGATATTTCTCTCCGTAAAATGCAATGGGAAAAAGTAGAAGTAGTTACAGAGTCATCGATATGAGCGATCAAGAAGTTGATTTACTTCATTGGAGCACAAAATTTTTTAAATTACTAACTGTTATTTCATGTTTTAGGAAGTAAAAATGAACACAATAGTCTTTAGTGATAGCAATAATTATAACAACAGAAAGAATATATTTTCATTTAAGTTGATAAATGGAGTAACTGTAAAAAGATAATTTTTAACTAACCTGCTATTATAGGAGAAACTATTTTCAATTTCTGCAGAAAAACAGGAACATAAGGCATCCACATAGTAAGATCAAAAGCATGCAAAACACAGCATACAGTGACAGCGGCAAAAGAGTGCCAAAACTGATTCTTTCGAGAATCATAACAAAAAGTGTTCCAACTGCAATTCAAAACAGTCAAAGATATTGTGTGTAGAGACAGAATTGAATTAAAAGAAAATAAATACAAAGAGAAGTAAATCCTATTTATATTAGTCAATTGCAAAGATGAGCTTTTAAACAATGTACAAAATAATTCAAATACCTTTTAATTCTTTTTCATGGGAGGAATTTTCATTTCCATGCTTGGATATTCTTTTTCCCCTGAACTAAGATGTTCAACTGTGCGCTTTTTCGCATCTGTAATATTGACTGTCGTAGATGCCATTGATTTAAGAATCACATCTTGTTTCTCCACGAAAGACAAAATGGATAATTTTTGCATTGCATCCAATTTTTTTGTGAATAGCCTTTTTATTTGAATGTTAAATATCTTGCCGTTCAATTCATCTTCCACATTTTGGAGGGATAATGTTTCTTTCTGAAAAAATGGAAAAGAATGATTAATAATAACAAAATCATTAATATTTTATATAATATATATACAATAATAAGGAATAAAGCGAACAGACAAATCGAAAGAGGTCCGATATTTTTACCATAAAAGAAGATGTTCAACAAAATATCATTTGCAAGGATCATGAATTTGCAAATAAAAAAAAAGTGGATGAGGAAAGAAAAGTTAATCATAAAAAAGATATTAAATTTGTTTTTAAAGGAAAATGAATATCTCAATGTTTATGTATTTACATCTTAAATCAAATTCAATACTAAAGGTCTTTCAACTAATCAGAGCCACACATGCTGCAGTTCTAAAATGGTGACGCCTATTATGGTAGGTGCGCATGACAGCTTAGGCATAAAGTTCTCAGCCAATGGGTAAGTATGTGAGATATTAAAGAAAGTTAACTATAAATAGACAACAAAAAGTATAAGTTGGGTGATTCACGATATATTTGTTTATTGAAGGTAAGTTTCTATTCCCTTATCATTTACAACATTTTATGTAGGGTAGATATTTTTAGGATTACTACTTGCGATGTTATTATGTGCATTTAATTTAGATAGTAGTGAGTTAAAACATTTCAAGTAATATGTACCTTGACGAAGCAAATTTCATAAATTTCTTCTAAAGTGAGGCGCAACATTTTCTCTGCAATTTCATCTGAAACAATAGCTGTTGCAAAACCACTGTTGTCCTTAATAGTAACTTCAAATTGACATCTGGTTTGATAATTAATGAAAATATTTTAAAATAATGGTAGTTAAGACATTTATTTGCTTGAACAAACAAAATAAATAATCTTAATTAGTTATTATTAATTTTGTAGAAGAGCAAATATACCTGGGAATAAGATGTGTGGATCGGTGACAATTTGTGCAGTATATTTCCCTTCGCACATTATATCTTGTGAACAATTGCTTACAATTTGAGCATGCTAACACACTAAAGCCTTGATCTTTACTTGCAAGGGACAATTCAGCCTCAACATTAAATACTTGTCCCTTTAAATTGAATATACCAAATATTATTTTTTATTGAGAAAAAAAAAGAAGAATTAAAAAAAGAATGATATAGTTGTTGTTCTCACTGGAGGTTGTGCCTGGATGTTAGCCACAGATATAACTTCATCTTCAAATGGAATCAACATAATAGAGCCTATTGGAGTTGTACTTTTCATCTTGTAAGAAACAAGCTTTGTTTCAATTGTTTTGATCCTATAAACAAGTACAAATAGAAAAATTTATTCATATTAGTTCATCCAAAATAGAAGAAATAAAAGTGAAATTTTAAAACTTAGTGATTGTAAGATTAAAGATGTTTTTTATATCTCAAAATATTCTGAAAGTTGGATGCATTAAATAAAAATATATATTACCACGTCCTTAACTCAGCAGCCTGTGGATATGGAGGATTGATTTGAATTGTTGTATTGAATTTACTCGTCAACCCAACGAATCTATTCGACGTTCCTATGAGCATTTGAATATGTCATTTTTAGTTTCATCATGTCATCTATATTTCAATAAAGGAAAAAATAAATGTATTTGCACTTTTACCTGAGGATGATTTCCCAATTTTCCTAGCAAGAATGATTGGGTAATCATGAAGTTGGTTGAAAAGTTTAAGTCCCTCATGATCAATAAAATCCTCCCAAAGTGTCAGTTTTGTTGGTTTTTTCCTGCATATGTTTTGAAGGATGTTTGAAAACATTAAAGTTGCAGAAGATATGTGATATTGTAAAAACATTATAAATAATAAAATTGAAATCAGATTATATTATCAATAAATACCAGCATTTTTGTGCTATAAAAGTCAAAATATAAGATGAACGAACAAAGAAAAGGAAGTAAACACAGGAGTAACTAAAACATGGTATAAAGTAGGCAGATCTGCAACTTTCACATATCCACATTCATCCCATAATATGTTTGCCATTTCACTCAGCAATTAAAATCTTTCAAGACATTGAACAGGCTTACTTCAGTCATGAATTAGCAGAACTCAAATGACAGGTCAAGGGAAATAGCAAAAAGGTAAAAGTGCAAATAGTAGATTCATGGCACAGACAAATATATATGTTGACACGTTAGGTTAACACCTTACACCCTATGATGATTCCCCAACCTAGCTGTCTCTTCAGTAGATAAGGTTTTAACGAAAAAGAGCTTGTTGTTGTTTCTGGATGGCCACTTTAACCTGTGCCACAAAATAAAATAAAAACTTTCCTTTCTTGTTGAAATATGTTGCACTTATGTATTGAGGAGGCCTTTTTTTAATGAACTTCCAACAATATAGAAGTCACATAAACTGGATGTTACAAAGTTGAAACTTAATTTTTAGCATGCATAGACATAGATAGACAGCTGCTAGGGACCAATCACAACGTAATAATCTAGGTAAAGCAAACATTGTGGCATATAAAATTGGTATCCACGAAAAAGGAAAATTTCTATTTATAGAGGAAAACACTATGACAGCAAACCAAGAAATGCAAGGAAAATAAAACAGCGAGGAATAGATGATTCAGTCAATGAAGTCAATATTACATGTTCAATTTTTTCTACTCGAATAACAGACAATTTCAGTCTGTAAGTTCTGTGATTAGCAGTCCAAAAACTACAATTAAACTCTGAAAAAGTAGTAACCATTTGGAGAAGACGACTACAAAGGCAATGTTATTGAAACTCGAAAGAATTAATCACTTTATTAAATACAAGTATATACTTCAACTACGAAAATGAAAAAGGAAAAAAAAACAGTATCAACCAAAAAGAGCCTTTTTTTTAAAACAAGTAATAAGATATAAAGATAAATGACAAGAGTGATATTCTTTATATACTTACAGCTTGTCCATGATAATAAACTCTTGAATTCGTTTTCCAGTTGTAGTCCTTGTTGAAGGACTGCCATTAATGACAATGGCGAGTACATCTTGCATTAAATAAAAAGAAAGAAAGAATAATTAGATCATGAGAAATATTATATTATAGTAACAATGGATTTTATGTGAATAAGAAGAATAATTAAATAAATTTATAATTACCAAATTCAAATTCTTTGGGTTGATACTCAAAAGTGTCAAATGTGGTAAGAGCTAGTCATCTTGGTGGTGGCAATGGATCCTCTGGAGGTTTGACCTCTTCAACTGGTTCAACAATGGTGTTTTTATCAAGTGTCCAAATGAATTTGTTAAGTGAATTTTCATATCCAAGAGGTGGTACTTTCACATGTGCAACAGATACCAAGTAAGTGTTGAAAGGAGCAAATTCTCTTTCAAAATATGTTATATCAGTACTGTAAATAGTGGCCTGAACTTGATTCTCCTGTAAAAGAATTTGTAAAAAGTTTGATTAGTTGTGTAAAATTTAAAAGTTATTTTATTATTTTTCATATTATTAAAGTAAAAATATAAAATAATGCATTATTTAGTTAACTGAAGTAAAGTTAAGATTTTAAAATCAATAATAAATTAATAAAAATAAATACCTCTTCATCTTGCAGAATTAACACTTGGTATTTTGTAGTTTTATCTTTGTTGTCCCTTGGTCGACTTTTATCAACAACTTGGACCTTACAGGTCCAATCTTTAGTATCAGGAGTGATCATTTTGATGGTATATCTTTCAGCCATGTTGAACTATCTGCAATTAAAATACATTATAAGAGGATAAGTTAAGGTAAATGCATAATGAAAGCAATATTATAATAATAATATAGATAAATATAAGTAATTTGTATATGAGATTTACCATTGTAAATTGAAGCACAAAGTTCAAGAAAATGCCTTTTCAATAATTTCATTGTAGACAACATTATATGTGGAATGATCATCATTTTCGTCAATTATAGGTGGTCTAATTAATACTTTGACATTGTGAGAACTTGTCGCTCTTGATAAAGCAACATATAATTGTCCATGAGAGAAGACAGGTTCGCGTAAATATATACCAACAAAATCTAATGTCTGTCCTTGAGCTTTATTTATAGTCATGGCAAAACATAATCGTACAGGAAATTGTGTTCTCTTAAAAGGAAGAGGCAATTTTTCATCTTCTGAAGTCATGAGTGGTATTCGTGGAATAAATACATGTGTATTTTTAAAATCACCGCTAGATATTGTTGCACTAATAACATGAGGTTTAAAATCATTACATATTAAGCGTGTCCCATTGCATAAACCTTCAGAAGGATTTAAATTTCTTAATAACATAATCGGACAATTTTTCTTCAAAGTTAATTTGTATGGAGGTAAACCTGTAGGATTTAAAGTGTGTAAGAAATCTTCATATTCACTTTGATCCTTTGGATCAATAGTTTCATCTATAGCAATATATACTTTTCCAGTGTTTGGAAATTGAGAGATCAACATGTCATTTATTTCATCAACAAAATCATTTTTAGTTGTTAGAATAGCACGAGAAGTAATAAACGAAGTTTTTGTACAAGATGTGTATAAATCAGGATAAGTATTTCTAAAGAGAAGATTTAGAGATTCTTTTTCAGAAGTAAAAGGAATAATGAGGGAATGAGGAATTTGAATTTTTCCATGGTCATTTGTTTTTTCTTTTCCATCACCAATTCTCATTAAATATTCACAAAATTCAGGATCTTTAGTTGCACGCATATTCTTCGATAACTGTAATTTTTCAAGTTGATTCCAAATTTTAGAACACAATAAACTTTCACGAATAAAATCTTCTTTTTTTCCACTACGAACAACCGGAAGAGTTTGTCTGAAATCACCACTAAAAACAACTATTTTACCACCAAATAACGTATTTGTTTCCATTAGATCTCTTAAAAGTAAGTCAAATGCTTCAACCATTTTCTTTTTTGCCATTGAAATTTCATCCCACACAATTAATCGTGCATCTCGTATTAAAGATGCTAGTGAACTTTGTTTACTAATATTGCAAGTAAAATTTTCATTGACATCAATAGGAATTTTAAATCGAGAATGAGCAGTTCGACCTCCGGGAAGAAGTGAAGCTGCAACACCAGAACTTGCAGTTGCTAAAGCTATAAATCCCTTGTGTCTTATTGTAGCTAATAAAGCACGGTATAAAAAACTTTTACCAGTTCCACCAGGACCATCAATATAGAATGCGCCAAATTTATTTGACAATACTCTATCAAGAATAATATCGTAAGCCTTTCTCTGTTCAGTGTTTAATTTATTTTGTAACAATAAATCTTCCTCAGTAACAATGATATTTCTTTCGTAATGAACTTCTTTAGCTTCTCTTGCTAATGATGAAGGTTTGATATATTCTGAAATTAGTTGAAATTCATTAATGTCACGACCCATTGAATGAAGAACATCATTAATGCAATTTAATACTTTATAACGTATTTCTCTTACATTTAAGTTTGAACTTTTGTTGAAATCTTCAGACATTGGGCTTTCAAATCTTTCCCATAATTCTCTAGGATTTGTTGGATTACAATAAATCAATAACATAGCAAATAATTGTCTTAAACTGGATGACATTTGATAACTTGCAGCTTCAGACATGCATTCTACCAAATTATTATCACAAAGTAATAGTTCTCTTTTTTCTGCAGCTTCCCTAAATGAATTATATTGTATTCCATTTACAGTTCGTAGATCTTCATATGATTTTGGCCCTCTTACGTTCATTAAAAAAAGTCTAAGATAGTATCTTTCTCCTTCGGTTGGATGACATGTCACTATACGTCCAATAACATGACCTCGTTTACGACGTGTCCACATTTTATTTGTTGTTGACCATACAAAATGTTCTGGAAATTCACGATATAATAAATTTAGGTCCATAGCTTCTTTGTTTGATTTATTCATTAAAAAAAAATCAGTTAACATTGTTTTTGTTATCATGGGATTAGTTGCAATTTTGCTAATGTTGTCGGTACTTTTGAAGGAAACAAGTTGTTGTCCATGAAGATGCAGTTGCAGATGATATACAGTTGGACTCATTTCGCTAATAGGAAAAGCGAATATTCTCCATGCAGCTTCAGGTGGTGATACCCACCTAGCAGATTGATATTCTTTTATTTCATCTATTTCTAGGTTTACATCATTAGTTTGTATATGAAATGCTATTTTATCATGTCCTTTACAAATGTATTTATAAATGTACTTAACAACTTTTATATCAGAACAAATCTCTACATTTATATGGCAGTTGAATTTACAAAGTAAATATGGATTGTAAGGAACAACCCATGAGTTATCAAGAAAGTGTCCTCTAATTTTTACACTTTTTCCTGTATTTCGTCTTCTATAAATTGGGTATGAATTTTTTCCTTTAGTTGTTTGTTGTACAAACTCTTTAGGATACTTATTTTTACAACGTCCTTTTTTCTTCATACAAGAATTTGTTGGATTCAAGTTACCACAAGGACCATGCATCATGTGTTGTGTAACAAGTGAGTATAAATAGGGATATATATTTTCATCTGGTATTTCAGCACATACAAATCGATCATATGCTTCTGGAGTTAGTAATTTGTAATTATCATGTAGTATAATAAGAAAATGAGCATGGGGAAGTCCTCGTTTTTGAAATTCTATTGTATACATAAATGCTGCAACTTTACCAAATATATGCCTTTTTATTATATCATTTTTTAATTCTTCTACTTTTGCTCTAAACACTCTACTAACCAGATCAGGCCTATTTTGTACCTCATCAGTTGATATAAGTTTTTCTTCTATTTCAGGCCAAGAAGGATTACATGTTATAGTCAAAAATATATCAGGTTTTCCAAAACGCTGCACTAATGCAATAGCATCCATATACCGTCTACGCATATCTCTTGGACCTCCAGTAAAGCTAAGTGGAAGTATGCGTTGTTTTCCTATATGTGAAGCTTCTCTTTCCCCCTTACGTAAAACATCCAAAATTCCATCTAATACATCAGTTCTAATTAAATCTTGATTAAAGGAAGCAAAGTCTAATCGTTGGGTTTCAATTTTTATCCATTGATCTACTACATATTGTTGGAATAATCTTCCAGCATGTAAGACTATATTTTCATCATCTCTTATTTGAAGTTTGTAACAATAATATTCACGACAAGAAATAGTGTCTCGTTTGTGCTTTTCTTTTAGCATAACTTCGGCTTCCATGTTAAGCAGTCCATCTATTGAACACATATTTTTTATACTTGGTAGTTGTTCTTGTTCGCAATATACTTGTGTTGATGTTTTTGAAGAACACTTAATTTTCTTAATACCACAATGCCATCCACCTTGACCATATGGAAATAGCAATGGATATTGCAATGGATCATAACAACCGTAATAATAATTTACCAATTGATTTTTATCACTTTTTGTATATATTTGAATATGTGGTGTAGGAATAGAATTAGTAATATCTTGTTCTACCCATATTCCTGCAACTTCTGATACTGTTGGTAAGTTATATATACGTTGATCTAAGCCAGAATCACACTTAAGTGCAATATAAAAATCAGATAGTTGTGGAACATCAACTAAAGATTTTAAAAACATAGAGTATGGATTAATTTTTAATATTTCCATTAGTGTTCTCACAACATATTCATTTAATTTATTTGAACATGCCATTCGATTTCTTAATTCATTTTCACTATCAAAGAAATATAATTGAAGGTTTTTTCCTTTTTTATCGGTAGGAATCAAGTCATTGATGAAATGATACATCTGACCTTGAACCCGAAAAGTATAAATACCATTATTTTTTTTTGCTAATTCTTTGTCATAAGTTACCCCTAGAGATGTGAAAGCAAATATATTATTGTATGTTCTAATATAAGTTCTAAAATGTTTTGATAGCTCTGTATTTTCCAAATAAAGGTTTTTTAATTCTATTGGAATGTCATGTGAAGTTAATTGAACAGAACCATTGCTACAACAAAATGCAGGTGATTCATATTCAAATCTTATGGCTTTACAAAAACGACAATTTGATACTTCTTTTAATTTGATATAATTAGTCTCTGATGGCATAGTACTATTTATTTCTGATAGGAGCAACATGGGTTTTTTCATAATAAGATTAGAACTTTGTGCAACAGAAACAATGGTGGAATTAGAAGATGATGTAGCAGGTAAATCATTATTCATTGAACTTTCAGATAAGTTATGTTTTCTTATTTCAGCTCTCTTTGCTCGACGACGTGCTAGAAGAATTTCTTTTTCTTCAGGTGGCATCAATTTGTATAATTCGCGTCTCCTAGCATTTGTATCCGTGTTTGATTTTAGAAATACATGCATATTTTTATGCTTTCTATTAGAAATAATGGTGGAATTATCAGATGATGTAGTAGCCAAATCATTATTTATTGAACTTTCCGATAAGTTATGTTTTCTCGTTTCAGCTCTCTTTGCTCGGCGACGTGCTAGAAGAATCTCTTTTTCTTCAGGTGGCATCAATCTGTATAATTCGCGTCTCCTAGCATTTCTATCCGCATTTGATTTTTGAAAAGCAATCACATTTTTATGGTTTCTATTACTTGACATATTTGGCATCAAAATGATTTTACACAAAACAATTATCTGGTAAATAATAGTAATAATTTTAAATAAGAATAGTTGAGTAATACTTACCACACACTGAGAGAGAAGTGAAACACAGGAGCGAACAAATATCGTAAGGAAGTGAAAATTCTGTAAAGTTAACAGTTCAAACCATATATTAAATTTAATATAATAGACATGCATAACAAAGGAAAAAGTAAAAAATAAAAAATGCTAAAAATAAGTGGTTGAGTTAAAATATTGTAGAAGAGACTATGGAATGGAAATAGTAATAAACAACACATATATATAGCAAAGAAAATACATAAGTATTTTCTCCACCTTCTCTAAATAATTTTAGGTCTATTTGATCTTTTTTGCGCTTTCAATCAATAGAATGTACATATGAAGTGGTAACTTTCATGGTAAAGAAGCGTTTCACGGACTTGCAAGTAATGGGCTGTCAATGGAGGTGTTGTTGGATTTGGTTCGTATAGATTGGTGAGACTTGACCCTCGGGCTATCCCCAAGAAAGATTGTTTCAAGTACCTTGGGTCTATAATGTAGGGAAGTGGAGACATCGATGATGGAAACAAGTACCTTGGGTCTATAATGTAGGGAAGTGGAGACATCGATGATGAAATCGTACATCGTATTAGTGGGTGTGGATGAAGTGGAGGGTTGCATTCGGAGTCTTGGATGGTAAAATGCTATCATCGAAAGTTAAAGGTAAGTTTTAACCAACTGAACATGGGAAAATAGGGAAACATATTCTGGCTCTTGTTTTAGTCTATACCGAACACACCCTTAGGTTCAAATTAATGACAGTCTTTTTCAAATTACTAAAGGTAATAGGAAAAAATTGATTACGACAAATGTGAAAGATCACCACAGACAAGGTTAATCATGAAGGGAAAAGTATACATGATAAAAAAAATTTTCTTGTGGAACTGCTCTTTGTTTTAGCTATCAACCTAATCCTAGAACAGGGAATGATCCTGGGCACTGTTTTATGCATACTGTTCATTTGTTATAAAATTAAGCCGATCGGACCTTTTTTTAAAAACAAATAAATTTGAAGACCAAGATAAGGTGGAATGCAGAAGGTTTTAATCTCTTGTCTGCCTTAATATCAAACGGGCTAGGTGAAATATCAATAACAAGAGAAAATGTTAATCTTATGCTTCTACTGACAGATATTCAATGTTTGTATGACACGCATGCAAGAAGTAAGAAATTAAGCACATCAACATCTCTCATAGAAAAACAAAAAGCCAACATCATAGACTAACCAAGACGAAAATGCAAAATTTTAAGAGTTGACATCGAGAAAGACACGCCAACTCTTTCTTTAACATCCCCATTACTCAATTTTGCCATAGTTATATTTCTTTCTCTGTATTCTATAACCAATAGTCACCATGTCATTGGATTTCACAAATCACAGTTGCTGCCTGAAATAGTCTCACAGTCGTAATAAGAATAGATCAAAGACCAAATCTTTGGTATCTTCACTTTAGAAAATATGACAAAAGAGTCACTTTAGAAGCCTAAGTGCACTACAAAGATAACTACTTTGAACCCTCCATACGATATTTAAACATACGAAAACAATATAAAACCCCATAATTGAATTGATTTTCATTTCCACAAAGACCGAGGAAGAGATCGTCTCCAATCAGCTTTTTATTGAGGAGTGAGTGGAGAAAATTGTTTCCCAGTAGGTCTCATAAAACAATGAGACAAGTCACAATCTTCTTCTCTTTCCCAAGCAGGCTCTCATACCTCCCTTGATTTTAAACATACATGTTCCAACTTTTTGAATTTTGTTAAGTTTATTATTGCAACTTCACCCTTCATCGCAGATGTTTCTGACCTTTAGATATAAATAAATTTCATAAAAGTATTTAGGATTAGTTGAATTTGCAGCTTAAAGGATGGATTAGAATATCACCTCTTTCATAATTAATTAATCCTATGAAATAATTACCCAAAGTGAAAATCTATGTTGCTCGCACTCTCCAAATATGTACTACTTTTGACAACATTTTCCTACCGAAGACGTCCCTTCATTTCTGTCGTGTTTCTTGTTATATAATATAATTTTAGTTTTTCTTGTCAAGGAGAAGGACCAAGGACTTTGCAATAATAATAAGAATATAAGAATCAATTTTAGACACAGCACTGGAGAAGCTCACAACAGATGAGAAATTAAAAGAACTAAAGTAAATAAATAAATAGCTTAAAATGGAACTTGGTCTAACCCAAAACCAATATAGAAACAATCCTTAGACAAATGCCAAGACTCAAATGAAAATCCAAAATTAGCCAAATAATTAGTCTCTTCTACTGACGGAAATATACTCGCTCTGCAATTCCCTAATTGATCTTAACATGTAAATTATCAGTACTGGAGCAGAATGAATGTTAAGGATTAGGATTCATACATCCCCACAAAGTTAATCGAACAGATTTAAGCAAAAAATGTGAATAAAACATACTTGAAAACACCCAATGGTTTAATCCTTTAGTCTTGAAAATCTAAGAAATCTGATGCAAATGAGATATTTATTTATTTTCATTGAAAGAGTGGAGAATTATAGATGATTCTAGAGATTAAAATATAAAAAAAGAAAAATACAACCTTCCTTTGACCAGGAGTGCACAGATATCAATATATATATATTTCTATATATTAGTATAGAAGTTATAATTTGCCATTGTATTTTTGATTTAATATCCGTTGTGCCACTGATATTTGCCCTTCTATGTTTGATTTATTTTCCGTTTTGCCACTGGTCGTTGGTTGGCTTCACTCTTCATTAGTATAGAAGTTATAATTTGCCATTGTATTTTTGATTTAATATCCGTTGTGCCACTGATATTTGCCCTTCTATGTTTGATTTATTTTCCGTTTTGCCACTGGTCGTTGGTTGGCTTCACTCTTCTATATAATAGAAATATATAAGATATATCATCCTATCCCTAATAAAGAATCGAGGTGAAAACATTTTTTTTTTTAATTTCTCACTTTCTTTCTTAATCTGTATATAAAAAAGAATACGAGTTTACAAATTTAGCAACTCTTCAATTTCAATATCTTGTATGATATATTTAAGATCATAAAATTTCAAATGATATTTCCGTATATTATTAATTTACATATTTTTAGTATTTAACACCACAAGATTCAATAATTTAATTTAAAAAAATAGAGAAAGTATTAAATTTGAATAAAACAAACTAAATTCCATAACTACCCTTTGAAGAAAGAAGAACAATTAACAGCCTTCAATGTTTCAGAAAAACACTTCTCATCCAAGTTTTTTTTTTTTTTTTGCAATTTTTCATGAAGGGCTTTCTAATTATCAAAAGCTTAGTAGCATCCATTTCTCTAATTATCTTTTTCACTACTCATTTCTCTAATAATGTTGTGGTTACACATAATAACAAAGTAAATATATCATCAAAGAAGAAGAAGAAACAAATATATCACATATTCTCTTTGGCATTGGAGGGTCCGTTAAAACATGGCACAATCGCTCGCGTTACTCTGATCTTTGGTGGAGACCAAATGTAACGCGAGGGTTTGTGTGGCTCGATCAGGAGCCACACAAAAATGAGTCGTGGCCCGAAACTTCTCCACATTATAGGGTGTCTCAAGACACCTCCGAATTTGAGTACAATTGTTAGTAGGGGCGGATCTAGGGACACAAGGGGTTTATCTGAATTTCTTTTATTGCTCAATTTTATTTATTTTTGGCATATACTCTTTCTGTTTCAATTTCATTGTCTTATTTTTTTTTAATGGAGCTTTAATTTCTTTGGAAATTCTATAACTTTAATGTTCTACTTGATTGATTTGTTTAAGACCATAAGATTCAAATGGCATTTTGGCATATAAACACATATTTAGTTTATTAAGACCGCAAAAATCTTTCATATTGAATTTCCTTAATGAAAATCTTGATTCTGTCACTGCAGGTCAGCTATAAGGATCGCGAGGATTGTGAAGGAGAGTTTTGAACTAGGGTTAACAAATGTGAGATGGTACGTGTTGGGAGATGACGATACAATATTTTTTACGGAGAATTTAGTGGCGATTTTGGGTAAATACGATCACAATCACATGTATTATATTGGTGGAAATTCCGAAAGTGTGGAGCAAAACGTGGTGTGTTCGTATAATATGGCGTTTGGTGGCGGCGGCATTGCCATTAGCAACCCTCTCGCGGCAGAGTTAGTAAAGATTTTAGACGGTTGCATTAATCGCTACCATTATTTGTACGGTTCGGATCAAAGGATCGGTGGTTGTATGGCTGAGATTGGCGTTCCTCTCACACATGAACTTGGTTTCCATCAGGTATGTATTATACCTACAATATTTTACTTTAATTTTGTAATATCATTCTCATTTTTAGAAGTTATTTTACGTACGTACGATAAAATTCAATAGCTTTAGTCAAGATTTCATGTTTTTGTCTAGAAATTTCTTTAATAGGTATAATTGATTTATCTAGACTCTAGTAAGTTGTCTGTAATAGAATTCATAAACTCAAAATACTAGTTTTGTCGTTGCTACACTTTCGAGTTCCGACAGACGCCGACCAAAGATGGATCAAGAATTTTATGGGTTCCAAATTCTAAACACACAGGACGACTTACTAGGTTCTGGAGATATAATTTAAACATAAATTTTAGATGGTCTAAATCAAAGCTACATATTGGATTATTATCCACCGGTACCATAGTATTTTTCTATTATCGATCGACTTGATTTATTTGTTAGGAAAAATAAATCTAAGTATGAATAGTCTATCTAATGTATGTTATGTTTTAAGATGGATATAACAGGAAGCCCACGAGGGCTATTGGCAGCACATCCGGTGGCGCCGCTAGTGTCGCTGCACCACTTAGGCACTCTACGTCCCCTATTTCCGTCAACGAACCGCCTCGACTCGGTGAAAAAGCTCGTAAAGGCTTACGAAAAGGACCCGAGTCGGGCGGTACAACAAACATTGTGCTATGATTTAAATAGAAATTGGTCATTTTCAGTGTCATGGGGCTATTCAGTGCAATTATATCCATGGCTAATAAATGCAAAAGAATTAGGGCTACCAATGCAAACGTTCAAGATATGGTTAGGTTCTAAAGAGCCATTCACATTTGATACTCGGCCCAATTATTTAGATCCATGTAAAAGGCCCATTGAGTTCTATTTGGATCAAGTTATTGGGCTTCAAAATGGTGAAACGTTTACAAGTTATAGCACTTTTATTGGTCATGATTCTAATTCTAATAAGAAATTATGTGAGAACCAAAAGTTCAAATCAACATTAACAATTCATATGGTTAATGTTACGGCTCCGATCTTATCTCCCCTAGTATGGAGACAGGTAAAATTCTACCTATACCTCTTTCCGTTTCATTTTATGTGAACCTGTTTAACTGAACGTGAAATTTTTTGATAGGCGCCACGTAGGCAATGCTGCGAAGTAATTGATGTTATTGGAGGAGTGCTAAATATGAAAATTAGAAGTTGCAATCAATGGGAAGCTGTAACGGTGCCGTTTCATGACAAGTATGGAGACTTTGCTTACAATCAAAAAATTATTTAA